GAGCACGATACATGCTCATGTGTCCGCTGTGCTTACTTTTCCTCGGGCTGTGTTCTGAAGTCTACCAAATCCATAAATAACACAGTAAGTGACACCCAAGAATGTGTTATGTAACACTTCCTGTGGGTCAAGCTATTGAGCTTATAGAGAGGAGTATGGTCATTTCCTAGGTCATTCCATGGTCTTGCAAGCACTCTGATATGCGTTCCCAGCTTGAGTACGAACTCCTTGGTCTGTGCTTGGTCTGTGTTCCTTGCTCGTTTAGATCGTGGTTGTCTATATTTTTGTAACCATGGTTTTAAATAAATGTGTATCCTTAAAACCTTTTGGTTACAGCTCCATGGTAACATGTATTGGGAGTTACGCGCGCCACAAAAATTCTGGATTCGTCTATATCCTATCTCACGTGCTCCAGTGCAGTACAACCCCAAATAACTCAGTACACAAATAAAGTTGGCGAAAATGTACACTACTGCGCAATTTGCACATGCGTGTTGAGGCGAAATTTCCTTCTGTGGAGAAGCTAGCACGCCGGAGAAGTGAGACAGTGACAACGGAATGTGGCCCATCAGTACGGCGGTAGGGCGCCGGGGGCTCCGGCTATAACCACGAGATGCGTTCCTGTATAAATGCGGAGATATCATTAAAGGATATATTATCGCAATCCTGACATTGCAGGGTGTCGTAATAAATTATTGACCTGCTGTCAATATCAGCTCCATTCTCGAGGAAGACTTGAACCTTAGGCCTAACGTTTTGAGCGTCAAATTTATTTCATGAGGAGTCAGTGGGTAAAAAAAAAATGAACAAGAACCTTACTCGAAGCCTCATAGACCTCATCCACGGTGAAGCTATTTTCGATCGTGTAATTTCAGGCTGAATCTATTTTATAAATTGTATAAAAATTATTGCTGAATGAGAGGGTGTGTGCCAGCTTATTTTTTGACTGGAGTGCGTTCTAAGCCTCACTTTCATTTTTTTTTTAAATTGTGGATTAAAACATAAGGGTGTATCTCAAAGTTTAAATTATTCATAAAAGCGGACTAATGTTTTCATTTGTAAAGAGCTTTTATGTCATTGCTTTCGTTTCTACTCGCAGGTTCCAAAATCGAAGAGTTTACCTCGCTTTAATTTAATTACGACCGACTCGTGAATCAGGTGTACAAGTTATCACATTGCCGGGAGCCATTTTGTAAAAGCCATACTTAAAAACGAAGGAAAACAAATTAAAGCCAACAGCGGCCATGTTTCAACCGCTTATAGTGAATTTTCAGTCTTGAGAAGAAAATCATTTGGAAAAGTGATTTTCCATATCCGACCTATGATGAATTTGTTACCAAAATAGGTAGGGAGAAGATATCGTTGTACTGGATATTCTCTTTAACAGTTGTTATTGCACAATGCACATGACACAACACGTGCATAACAGATTTGAGGTCATCCAAACATAATGAACGACAGACTTCCATCGAATTTGATATATGCAAGCATTCCGAGTTGTTAACATTAATTAGTAAAACCTACAAATGAGATAAGCCCAATCGTTTTAACGAATGTTGTTTATATACAGGTATATAGGCCCTATACATGGCATGAAAGCAATGGTATTTTATTAGTGTATACGTATGCTGTTTGGTTTGATTTCTTCTGTAGAACAAACAAATATAACAGTTTTAGTTTATCAAAATACACAGATTTATGTTCCTTGGGTCGTAACGGCCAATTGCTTTATTGATCAGCAATTCACGAAAACAAAACGACAGCCATTCACGAAGACAGAGCATTCGGAAATTTTCGCCATATAGCCTAAACTTCCATTTTAAGGTTTCCAAATTAATGTGTGATTTTTGTTTTTGTCACAATCTCGTATTTTATTGAGTTTGCATTCTCCGTTGCTTTATATGGGGTAGTTATGCGGCAATTTGTTTTTCTTGAGGGTGTGGGTGTCATTTACTCATGTTAAAAATATATTGGGAAAGGGCAAAAATCTTGTAAAAGAGAGAAACGGAGACAACTTGTTTACCGAATATCTAACTAATCTGCAAATGCCATTGAAAATATTTGGCTAATGTTTCTCCGAATGAGCCGCCAGAGTAATGGCTTGAGCAGGTTCTTTTTGTTATTATGCATCAAAGGAAATGACTTTTCCAGAAGGTTGAACTTGCCTTTAGGCTGCGAAAATTAAGGATGTAACAAGGGGTGGAAACCCGTCGACATCATGCACAAACTTCCTTCAGGAGATGATACCACTTACCGAAATGTAAGTAGACTTGCTGACTTGACATATAAGCATATTATACTCTTCCATATACCAATTCCCTGGGAATTTCACTCGTGAATGAAACCCCCCCCCCCCCCCAATAAAAAAATCTGGATCCGGCCTTGATTTTGGGTGTCTTCAACCCTCTGTAAAAGGCTGTTATTTTGAGGTGTTGTTGCAAACCAGTCTAGCCTGCCTGAACTGAATTATTGTCGGGCCACAAACAATTCGAAATTCGTAACTAAACCTGGGCCGACTTTCTTTTGTTGGATGTCGCATTCAGAACGAATAACATTTCTGAAATCAATTCTGGATTGTACTCGAAACTAGCACGGACAGTATATCTTTAAAAGCAGTATATTTCATTGGCAGCATTTAATTTGACAAACGATGTTTCATTTTTTGAGCAAGCTGTCAACAAATGCCGAAATGGACATGCATCCACCGCGTCAGTATGCTTCATGTTGTTGCTAGGCACCAAGTGGCGTGAAATATGCTGATAAGAATGTCGCGTCGTCCAATTAAGGCTATTCAACGATGATTTCAAATACAGACCCAAAGAAATCGCCTCGTTAACTGTCCTTCTGTTAACCAACTCATCAAGAAGCCGTTGGGCAATTTCAAAGTCGAACAATTGATCAGAAATTCTGGTAGTATTTTGAGAGGAGGAGAGAAACGCCTTTCACAGTGGGTAGCCGTCCCACAAAAGAAAATGCATCTAACAGCTTGGGTGTCGCGAGAGGCTTTGTTTGGGATTTCTTGGCAATTTTTATTTTTAAAGATTTTTTTTTTAAAATTGCTATGAGGACGTCAGCCTTTAAAGGCCGGCCAAAAATAATAATTTGGCGGCAAAATATTAGAAAACTCATTTTACTGGAGTTGCCACAATCTCCCAAATGAACTTACTGTGGTTTTTGTTTGGATGCAACGTCAAGCTTAATTACTTTGTTTTTTTTATGTTGTCAAGTAGAAAATCCCAGTGGTTAAAGGAACGGTTAAGATGTAAGACCTTTTAAGTATAGTAATGTAAGTTTAACAAAACAACATGGGATATCAATTGAAATAACTTACAACCATTTGTGGTTAAAGGAAACCCGCCATAGCTTGACGCCATACCATGCTAACAAGATAATACATCCATTTATGGCCTTTGTGCGAACGATTGACAGAATTCCTTTTTCTCGAGACAGAAATACTTAAACCCTGGATTAGAATACCTAAAATCCGGATATAAGCGATATAATACAAGGAGTTATGCGATTAAGCCTGGTGGGTTTTTCCAGCTCGGTGTATAATTTCCATTGGGATAAGCCGATTGGATCCGACGTAATCCGATGGAATGTCTCATTCAGTAGCATTTAACTTCCTTAGTGAGGCAACGCAAACATCATACGCCCACCAGTCCGACCATTCCTGTCATCCTAATTCTCATAAACCGTAATCGCCAGTTCCAAAGCCCGTGTACACCTTTCGTTCCCATGTTAGCGTAGTTATTAAACGATGCATCAGTTTTCTATGGAGGATTTGTTGGTTTCACTTTTTGATAACACTGTGTGGTCTTCTCACAGAAAACAAAACACAACTCAGCGACGTTTGTCTTTTTAAAATAATACTGCCGTTGTTTTTGTCTTTATTGTCTTAAAACAGTATCATCAGTAAGCCTCACTGTTAAATTCACGAAGAAACTAAATCATAGTACACGACTGTTACATGTCAACTTACACCTTCAAAATAAAGGGTTTAGTAGTTTTCAGTTACACATTCGCGGGTTTGCACTTAAAAGAAAGGAAGGAAAAATCGAAATACTGGTGACAACAAGCAGAGTTTGGCATAGCAGCCATTTGATTTTTTTCCATTCAAATCAATGTAACCAAATCGAGGCTGCATGGAAGGAAAAACAGTCTGGTTCCTTTTTGCACAAAACATTATCATTCAGTACTGTTATTGGATACAGGGAGCATGACTAAAATGGTGGAAGCATGAAGTAGGTCTATAGGGTATTCAAAGAGGCACACCTATGCCCCCTCGGTATTCCCTTAATGACAAGTACAATAATAATTTTGCTGCTTTGTACTTGATGACTGCATGGTCCATCTTGTTTTCTGTGATCAAAGTTGCTGGAAACTTGGTAGGAAGCTGTCACAACGGTAATTTGGAGAGAACTTTTGGGAGAGTCAAGAGGGAAAAATGCAGGAAAAGTAATCCAGATCTGAACTTGTCTCTTAAATTAGCGGACTCCGTCAACCGAAAAGTTAGTAATGTATGACTGGTTTTTTTTTAAATGTGGATTTTTAAGTTGTTTATTTTCCTTTTGGGGGTGGGGGTGGGGGATAGGAGTACTTTTTTAGGGGGTTGGGGAGCCACAGAATTTAAGTGATACTTTATACTATTAACTCTATGATAATATGCCATTAACTCCGATGTTGCACAAAATGCAACTCACGGTGCATGAGGAAAAAAACGCTACAGGAACAATCTAGTACTGACCTATGGAATATGAATGCAAAACATCTTGCACCTTGCGGAAAGACACGGGATTAGAAATATTATTAACACGAAATGTAACAAAATCAAACTTTCCTTGCCAATTACTCTATAGAATTTGTTCTAAGTACTTATGTAAAATGCACGCATCACATCCGTAATCATGTTACCAAGTGTTATCACTACTATCTATTCAAATTAGTCAATCTATACCGTTGCAATTCTGCAAGTTGTTTTGCAAGAATATAAAAAAAAATTACATACTATAGTGTGAAATCCAGCCTTTAAATGTTATTGATGATACCCCAGAATGGCAAACATTGCTGTATAGTATTATTATAATATATTCACATTCCTGAACAATCCAACTTGAAAGAAGAGAGGAAAATGATAAAAAGATTCAGGCAAACGACACACTCGAATATTCGTTTTCATTATTAAACCTATACACTTTAAATTTCAGCGGGACTAAAAATCAGGTAGTCTTAAACTCAAGTTATCTCATTGTAAGTTCCTGTCAAAACTACATAATGGGCTGAATATTATCAAGAAAAGTCAGACGTCGGGTTTTCCCCCCAACTATGAGAAGGTTTAAGCGATTCAGCTTATTCTAATCACACTTTTACAGCATTTAATGTTTCTCCAACTGTTTTAATTTTCAAGACTACCAGAGTCCGGAACTGAATTGTTGTTTCCTTTGCAATATACATCAACTCGATGTCCCATTAATTAGAAAATGAATAATGTTTATTTGAATGTCGCTTGCGGTCAGCTAGGCCTGAACACCTGCTTTGAGTTATGAACGAATGGTTCTACAAAGCAAAGTGAGAGGCAAGGTTTATTCAGGGTTAGAGCAAAAGGTTTACATTGCTGCGCAGATCCCATACCATTCTCATCGGAAAACAGATTGATGAATTTGCCTTCATGCGTTCACGGGTCCCAAGTAATATAAGGGCATATCAGACGGACAGTACACGCGTTCGGCTTGTCAACTCGTGGTCTTAATTGCTCCCCCGGGGTGGAGCGCGTGCCAGACAGCCCGTTACAGACACTGGGAAACACTTGCCGTCAGCCGTCACTCTCTGCAGGATAGTGGGGTGTGTAGCTAGCTCTCAGCACACCAACTGGGCTGTGTGTTCTTTTGCGAGTTTCAACTTTCAGTAGGGCTACCAACTGCCGCCAGGGGTTTCGCATTCCAGTTCTCTTGTGGATCGTATCATCGCCGCGGGCGAGATACACGGCGAAAATGTCAAACTCCCCTGGCAGGAATTCCGTCAATTTGCGGCATGAACAATGACAAGTCGCTTTCCAAAATGAGATGATAGGGTTTTGATGAGCTGAGAATTTTTATCGATGGAAATGGGCTTGTTTTTTTTTCTCGGTTCAAGTGTATATGGGGTGATACCTGGGCGGATAAGATGTGATACTCTTGGTAGGAATGGGCTTGACGACACGGGGGGCTGATGGGTGGCACATGCCAGCTCTCTCGGTGGTGAGTTGTGATGGAACGTGCCAACGTGAGAGTAGCCCAGTGGCACTGATTGGGTTGAAAATGCCGGGTGTCTCCCCACCGTGTCTGGCCGCGTACGCGGCACAGGCGGGCCCGTGCTCATAGCTGTACAGTTCAGTATGCTGGCTACACGAGCAAATTGATGAATACTGGAAGTTCAACGCCCTGTTCAAGTAGTTGTCTCTGTTTAGAGAGTTTGAAAGAGGAGGCGGGAAGGGGAGGTTTAAACCGGAGTAACACTGATCCCCACTTGGGTATATAGCATTCTTATCCAAAGATGTCGGTCTAGAGTCGGTGAAGCCCTGTGCTAAAGATGGCAGGAGGTTAGGAAATTTCAAATTTGAGCTAAGGTTTACTGGGGATAAGCCAGTTATTGTGCTCGGTATGGTTTTGTGATTTTCGCTGCGATCAGGCTCCTGCCAGAATGAGGCGGGGAGTCTGCGCTTCCGAAGCGGTAGGGGATTGTCACTGTCCGGCCGCTCTGCTTCACCACTGCGGTCTAATTTCGCCATATCCGTGAATTCACGACCAGACAAACCGGCACTGCGTCGATGATCATGATACCGAGTCGAGCCTCTTCTTCCAAACAAAGGCTGATCCAGGTCCCTGCGGATGCCACTCCCAAATGTTAACTCTTTCAAAAGATCGGAGTTTTTGATCAGGTGATCGCGGTGAAGTGAAGCGCTAGCCATCAGCCTCTCCGAAAAGTGCAGGGCGCCACTTTGGATGCCCGGGGATTGGGGGGAGTTGAGACTGGCAGCGAATCTTCGGGAGTTGAAATAAGGATCGTCCCCTCGATAGACCTCAGACCCAGTGAAGTTCGAAATCGGGCTCTTTTTCAACAGCTGTTTTTGCGGAAACTTTCGATTAATATTGTCTACTGATGAGGATTTCCTGGCGTTGGATGGCGCGGACTTGTCCAGTGCAGCTTTGATGTCAGAGGAGGCGAGACTGACGAAATGAAGGAGCGTCTTGACATCACCATCCGCTGCAGTTGTCTGCTCTGGGGGTTGTTGGTGGTGGTGGGTGAAGTGATGTTGGTGAGCGTGGTGTAGCCGATCTTCCATCGCAATCCTGTCCCTTTCTTCCTGCGGACTGCTACTCCCCCGCTCGGCAGCATCTGCATCTTCAGGGCAGGAGGACCCAGACCCAGCCGCCCCGGTCATCTCAGTGGGATGTTGCTGGTCTCCTTGCGTCATGGATGCCTAGTGCAGACGATGCGAGATGTTGGCCCGTTGTGTGAGATGCCAAACGGATGGAGACGAGCCAAGCCGGGCTGAGCCGAGTGTGATGAAGATGAATGCAATTGTGCCTCGCTGATGGCTGTGATGACGAGTCTATAGCTGTGTTGTTTGTCGAGGGACACGACGTCTCATCTGTTTCTTCCATTCAGTAATACATGTAATCCTACACAGTGTTCTCGCGATGATATTATAAACCCCCCGTGCGCGTGTACATACGGTCAGCACTATATGGAGCAACCCACGTGCGCCGGTGACGTTACGTGACGTGAGCATTAAGTCCAGTCGTGCTGCATGCGATTGGTCAAAAAGTACCAGTGAGTGAATTCTGGCTGTCGACCAACTATCTGGAGATATTGCATTACATGTATCGTGGAGGGCTATGATGTCGTGCACGCGCAAAGGGATATACAGGAATTTCAAATTGGCACTGAAACCGAGCCCCTCGGTGCTGTCTTCTTGAGAGGATTAATAAAAAAAAAATAGGTCCTCAATTCAAACAATGGCTTAGCGCTTAGAGCCTCGGTTTCGGTGCTAATTTGGGCTTCGTCTATCGTGTGAAATCACGGAGGATTCCTCCGTGTTAGAATTAACAATGCAATTGATGGTGTCATGGGGCACGGGACTCGAACAGCCTCGTTTCGGGAAAGTGTTTTGATCGCTTCATAGAGGAAGCCAGGAGGAAATAGTTTAATCTATTCCATGATGATCATGTCATGCGCCTCATGCCGGCCATTTCGGAATCTCAGGAACCCATCGACACACCATCCAAGGGGAATGGTGTTGGCTAGTTTCGGGCAAAATTGCTCAACCGGTACCCGGGATCCGCACGGAATATGTGCGTGCACAGCTGCCCATTGCTTTGCATTTATTGTTTGTGTTCATTTTTAGAGCGTCTTAATTATTATCCAGTAAAGACATAATTGTCATTTCTCCGGACAACCAGTCGCTCTCGTGATGTTTGAGCTGTTGACCTGGCTTCTGGATTGATGCTAAGAGGTTTGAACAAAATGTTTCCCTAACACTGGGTTTTAAATTCAATTTCAAGTGAAGGCCTGTATACGTAGAGGGCCGCGAAAGAGAAAAATTTAACATGGTGAGTAAAAATGAAGGTGACCAAATTAGAAAACAATGTTCAAATTATAATAATAATAATAATTACCCTGGATTGGACATTTGGGAGACATCCCAATAGACTTGTTCACAAAAAAATTTCAAACTTAAATGTGCCCTAACCCAATATTCCCTTGTCCTTTTTCCACGAATTTTGGTATGTTTACTAATAAGACCACGAGCAACAAATTATAATCTAATTGCGACAATACAATTTTGCCCCTAAAGGAGGGTTGTGACATTAGGGAGACATGAAAATGTCTCCCTAATGACCGATGTCTCCCATCGTGCGAAGTAATTACGATAACGTGTCTCCTTAGTGGTACCTTTACACGTATATATGCTCCATTTCATACCCAAAAACCCGAAGACGTAAGGTACATGTTAATGACTAGTAACTGTGAAAATGTCACGTTATTTGCATACACTTCATTCCCAAGTTACGTCTATTTTAAAATGAAGGTCACAAAATTCAGCCGTCTACCACGAACTGATGAATACATGTTTGATGTTACATACAATGACACATTGACGTTTTCCTACCTGATGAATGGAGCAGAACTTGCAAAGGAAAACGTACCAAAATCGTCAATAATGTTTCAGAAAAAATAGCCTTGTTCCTCATATTCAAAATACAAAAGCTGACGGTAAAAAATACCGTTTGATTTAAATGATCTGTAATTTTCACTAGGCTTAATAGCTTCCAATGGCATTCCATGGACAGCTATAAAACGGGTTCTTTGAGTAAAACGTGCATAGGCCTAACCTCTGATGGCATTGATCAATTTCAATAATTTGTTGCTTTTTTAGATGAGTGGAAGAACATGCTCGTTTGAGATATACTTCATTGGTGTTTTCAAATTTGATTACTTTTTAAGAAAAAAACCCATTAATACGGGTCTTTTCTTTTTGACTCACCCTATAGTGCACGATGATTGATATCCATCTGACATCAACATTTAAATTTTAATAGCTCTATACCGCGAACGATACAATCTGCGCACGTTATCCCTTATATCACGAAGGCCCCCTTCAATGGCGAACAAATTGTGCTAGCTGTTGTTCAGATAATCCGTCATGGGACAGTAGCTTGCCACAATAGCTTGTACAATGCTTTCGCCATTGAAGGGCGCCTCGTCTGTGTGTACAGTCATTATGTCCCCGGATTCGTCTATAAAACGGCCCCTGTGAATTGCGCCCTCAATCTGTTTTTGTGGTATCCTACAAACTTACAAGTTGTATCTGAAACATGTGCTGTTTGTACCATTTTCGAGTTCCTCCCCCCCCCCTAGTCTGAGGGTCTTATTATTCATTAGTGGACGACCCATCAGCTGATATCTAGGCGCCCATACAGATGACAGAGATGTAATGCTACAGGTGACCCGTTTGTAGCGCCAAACGTCACACTGGGAAGAGGAAGGACCACTCTTGTCGAGTATGGCGTGTCAAACGTTGCAATATTCAATATTTTGCAATATATATGTTGGATGTTCAATATGTGTTTGTTATGTTTTACATTTATGTGCGATGTTCAGTATAAGTGTGCGATGTTTTTCATTATTTGCGCGATGTTTAATATATCTGTGCGATGTTTTACAATATTTGTGCGATGTTCAATATATGTGTGCGATGTTTTACATTTATATGCGATTTTCAATTTATATGTGCGATGTTTTTGACGATATATATGTGCGATGTTTTCAATATTATGTTCGATTTTTTGCATTAAATGTGCGGTGTTTTTCGATACAATTGTGTATGTTGTTTTACAACATATTTGCGATATTCTCAAATATGTGAGCAATGTTTTACACATATGTTTGACATTTCGAGCTATTTGTATTCGATGTTTCATCGGTATGTTTGCATTCGATCTTTTGCAATATGCATTTGATGTTTCCCTTTTCATTCGATGTTTCGTTAAGAGTCAAAGTCTGGTTACTAGACCGCGAAAGTCTGACTATTTTGCCTAAAGTCAGTGTATGAGACGTCAGGGGATCGCGTAAAGTGATTAGAGCCAGACCTAAACGGTAAAAACCGGAATTGTGGGTAATTCTTTAAGCATACGCAATGCGTTCATCATTGTTTGGGCAGTACCCCCAGCTGTGCCTGTACTACCCCTAGTGTTATGTGCATCATCTATGCATTGAGGAGTGCATGACACATGGTCTGAGCTCCAAGGCCGATGTGCACCTGTCCCGTTTAATGATCCAGTTACCTGATAATTTGTTTGAAAATTTTCAGATGTAAAATTTGGCAAAATTAGATGTTTATGAAAAAAAATCTAATTGTAAGGGGTTAACCTTGCATTTTTTTTTAGCAAAATCGGGAAAAATCAGATGTTTCTGGAAAATTGCAGATTGTATGGGTATAGATGTTTATGAAACATTTCAAATTGTAAGGGGTGAACATTGCATATTTTAGCGAAATTGGGCAAAATCCGATGTTTCCGAAAAATTTCAGATTGTAAGGGATTATCCTTGCTTTTTTATTGAAATTTGGCAAAGTTAGATGTTTATGAAAAATTTCAAATTATAAGGGGTTAACCTTGCATTTTTTAAGCGAAATTGGGAAAAAAATCTGATGTTTCTGGAAAATTGCAGATTCTAAGGGGTTAACCTTGCTTTTTAAATACGATTGGGAAAAATTAGATATTCATGAAAAAAATTCAAATTGTAAGGGGTTAACCTTGCATTTTTTTAAAGCAAAATAGGACACAATCAGATGATTCTGGAAAATTGCAGATTGTTAGGGCTTAACCCTGTATTTCTAGCAAAATGGGCAAAAAGAAATGTTTATGAAAACTTTAAAATTGTAAGAGGTGTACCTTGTATATTTAGTAAAATTTGGCAAAATCCGATTTGTATGAAAAATCTAAAATGGTAAGGGGTTAACCTTGCTTTTTTAGCAAAATTTGGAGCATATTTGACTAAACTTGGGCAAAATCAGATGCTTCTAAAAAATTCAGATATAAAGTTTCCACAAAAACAGCTGTTGAAAAAGAGCCCAATGTTGAACTTTACTGAGTCTGAGGTCTTTCGAGGGGACGATCCTTATTTCAACTCCCGGAGATTCGCTGACAGTCTCTATTTTTCTTTTTAAGAAAGTCGAAATAGCTGAAGAGGGAGGTGAGAATCTATATGTGCCCAGATACAAAGAGTAGAAATCTACGCGTCTGCCTTTTGAAAATACACAATTGCAGTGTTCATTGTTGCGTAATGATCCGCCTAGCACACGACTGTTTTGCACATTAGGCTGTGTGATGCAGCTTCCTAACAAACCAAACACACTGGGCTCATTATATCGACTTATTTTTACCCATTAAGGTAAAGCAAATGGACCCAGTAATCTTCCTGGCGCGTTTGCTCACCTATAAAGACAACTTTTCTCAGTTTAAGGAAAATTCTAAGGTAACGAAATGGCCGAGTGGTTACGATTCGTCGTCCACGGTTAGCGGGGTCCCGGGTTCGAATCCCGCTGGTGTCTTTTTTGGTTTTTAACGTATGAGTTCAATTATTCACTATAAGAGATTTAATTTCCCGTCGTAAAGTACCAACAGTACCTTAGCTTAATCGGTAAGCACTGCTGCTGGTACTGTCCGCGAGTTCCAGGTTGGCGCCTTCGTACAGGTTCAGGGCATGTGGTCCACTCGGAGGATCAGGGCTTAGGGGCCGCCCTGTTCCTCCCTTAGCTCTTTGCTTTTACATGGTGCCTGGCCCTCCGGGGTTATATGGATGGATAGGGAAGGAAGTGTGTATTGGTCGGGGACGCCGAGACCCCGGAAGAGAACTAAGGGATCGGCTGGGGCATTGTTATGGCTCAGACCGATCCCTGAAAGCTTGACTAGCACATAACTTTTTGATTTTTTTTACCCTCTATCTTTTATACTTTGGTTTAGTATGATATATACAGCTGCTCGGCAGGTCTACGGGTAGTATTAAAGTTGAAACAAAGGTGTATGTCATAAATCAATGACTATTTCATAATTGACTATAATCAAAACGGAGTTTCGTTTGATCAATTTGACTATCATTATATAATGACGAAATTGCCAA